GAGAGAGAGAGAGAGAGAGAGAGAGAGAGAGAGAGAGAGAGAGAGAGAGAGAGAGAGAGAGACCAATTGTCAATCACCTGTTTCGAGAATGACAAATGCGGGGACAGAAAACGACGTGTTCGAAAGCAAGAGTTTTAATTATCAGAAAATTTCCTCGCGCATCGATCTTTTCTTTTCCGAATGGCTTTTATTCACGTCGCCCCGACGTATTCAGGTCGACGTTTTCCGAAGCGGGAACAAATGCGGCTCCCGCGTCTTCGGAAATGTTATCGGTCACGTGAACAGTGCGAAAGTGTCGCGAAGTTTATGGCGAGGAACTGCGCTCGGTCGGTCTCTTATAACACAGTCATTAATCACTTACCAACAATGATTTTATTCGCGGCGAGCGGTCCGAGCGTAACGTACCGTGACGCACCTCGAACAGCGGGGACGATACATCACCGTGATGCGTAATATCGTCCTCAGCTCGGCAAAGGGAAGGGAACGGAACGGAACGGAACGGAACGGAACGAGAAAACGGGAGAACGCGCCGTCGTTCAGCTTCGACGTCGTCGCGCTATTTTCGAGTTGTCAAAATATCGCCGGGGCACAGTTGAAGATCGCGCGTGAAGCGGCACGTCGTGAAATGATTGATTTCCTTTCCCCTGACACCCCCTAAGACGCGTTAACGAAACAAATGCTCTCGCGACGCAAACGCAAACGTCACGAGAGACACGTCGCGTGATCATCTCGTTGACATTTATTTCAGGAATTTAGTTATGAATGTCGTATAACGCGTTGTTCGAGAAATGTATATTGATATCGGAGAAAGATTTAAGGATGACGTGGGCCAATCAATTTATTCCCCCACGTCCGAAGATGATATCACACGCGTAGACGAAGTACGGGGGGGTGAGGTGTACCCCCACCGAGAAAAGTAGGAGGTTACTTTATTCTATGGGCTGATTATACTCGTAAATATTTCACCAAGGGATGATTCGAGCTGTGGAACGAGGACGACTCACTGTTGAGGGACGAGCAGACACCGCAATAGGGACAGCAACGGAAAATGGTGATGTGAGAGGGGGCAGGAAGCGGGGGGAGGGGGATCACAGGGGGGGACAGGGATTTACGCGTGCGAGTCTGAACGCCCTTTATACGTCGTCGACGCTATAATATATGACACCTATAGATCACAATTACGTGTAATGGCGCTCACTCTTGTATTCATGGCGATATTATTTCTGGTTGCCTTCCACGGCCGTCGTCGTTCACCCTCTCCTACCCTTCTTCCAGCCCTCGTCGCTGCTTGTTCCTGGGAGACTTTGGTTCGTATGCTAAGCAGGCGGTAATTCTAGTTTGATTTACTTCGCCGGTCAACCCTCCCTCTCTCTGAAACTCCGCGGTGTACGCGACTTCCAACCCCGCCGGGAAAGTGATTACGCTCGGATCGGGCGATAAGTCCTTTATGGTTTTTGACATGTCGCACATTGGCGTAGCACGAATTCTCTTAACGTATCATTTTCTTTCTTTGAAAGAAATTAATATTTTGTTGAAAATTCTGTCTATTTTTTTTTTTGTCGTTAGAAAATTTCGAAGCGATCGAACTTTTAATACGAATTGACTCCACAGAGCATTTTATAATTATTTAAGAAAGGATTAAACTTTTTTAGAACGGAAATGATTGAAAGTCGCTCTTGAGTGTCTATCACCTGTAAAGAAAATGTTAAGTGGCTGCAAATTATCTTAAACTCGCCGCGGTAAAGAAAGATGACATAAATTGAACAGTTTGAATACATAATGCGGGCGAAATTATGCATCGATTACATATCGTGACTCATAATGAGGAACATTAATATAACCAAAGGTGTATTTCTGTCCTGACGCAGAGACAGAGAGAGAGAGAGAGAGGGGGGAGGGAGGAGAGAGAGTGAGAATGTCGATATTCTACCCGGAGAGACTTCGTGGACTCGGCGCGACGTGACGCCTTAAATTAAGGAAACGAGAAGCGTTAGGATTTATACGACTGTCATCTTGCAGCGGCTGTTCCCAGATATATCTTGTACATCAAGCGGGCTCGTTAAGTAATTAGTTCGAGCAGTGTCAGCGGAATCATGGGATATAATCAAAAGTTAGAAACGCGAGCGATTAATTATTACCTTACGCCGGCTCTCGAGTCGGAAATGTCAGTTCCTGGCCGCCTCTGGATTCGCCAGAGGCATCTACCTACACCAACCGCGAATGCGTTGTCATAACGAGACGTCATTACTGACTATTCATTACACGCGACGGATGTTCACTGAGCGTTATGACACTCAATGAATATTCACGCCCCGTTATATAGCCATTTTATAAACGGCTGCTGTAGCGCGACGGGTGACGCAAGCGAAACCATATTTAAGCGACCGTTTGCGTTTCGCATCGCAAAAATGAATCCGGTCCGGAGGTATAGATCGACATTTCAACATGTTCGGGATGGCTCACCCTTTTCGCCATTTACACGCATAAAATTATATATTACGTCATTTAGCGAGCGTCTAAAGGAGAGCTAATTTAGATCTATATACATATCTCGAAGTTTATATGTATGACGTATCATAATGAGATTCGCATTTGTTGCTGCCTCGTCTCTACCTGATGATTAAAATTAGCATGACTTGTCATTAAATATTGAATAAGACAAACTGTAATCTGTCCAGATTGACTGACTGACTGACTGACTGACTGGCTAGACCATCCAGCTGGTTTCGATACTTCGAATTAGACCAGAAAAAAGAAAGATACCAACTTTCTCTCTACATAATAAAATAATCCGCTCTCGCGACTCCGCTACCGACGTCGTCGCCGAGCCTCTACGCGTGTATGCATGTGCAAATAATAACGCGCACACTTACGCGACGAGGAGAGCTTAACTATTGTCCCGAACCCGAGGAGTAATGTCCCATTGTGAAACGGTTACAATGACGTATCGCCTGTCATCGGTGAAACGACGGCAATTTTATTCCATCCCAGTCGTGTTTAATGACCGTGTCGAAAGAAGTAAGGGGGCTTCGGAGGGAGGAAACAGGGAGTTAAAAATATTAACATTTCGAGCCGATGGACATGTACGCGAGACACTGTTACGATATTGCGGCGTAAGCGGCCTCGCTCGGCGCGATTCGTACCGTGAAATTAACTTGTTCCACTTAAGTCATCGCAAACCGGACAACGAGGGCGCGCTCGCGACGTCAATCGCAGCGGACAGGTATCCGTGCGATCGCAATTTTCTTTAATTGTCGCGGCAACATAACGCGCCTTCCCTCCCCCCCACCCCCTTCTCCTTCCCTTTTCGCGAGGCACGCGGGCTCCGCAACGCGGATGCCCACCGCGTTATTATACCGTGTGTGTACCTGGTGTGTTTTATACGTTCCTAGCCGGGATACGTGCGGGTGCGGCAACGAATCACTCACGTTTCCTGTAAATTGCGGATTCATGGTTTATCGGCGTACGGCCGAAACGTTTTACTGCCCGGCGATGCGCGATAACGCCGCGCTGACAGCGGAATGTCCCCGGCCAAAATGAATCCAACGAGTACACGCGAGACGCATATGCGGGAAACGTATTCTCTCGTGTTTTGTTTTTCGCGGGCGTGACTGGAATATCGGATTTGTCCAGTGACGTAGAATGAGGGGAAGCATCGAGCGCGAGGGGTCTTGCGTGATATTACGAGCATTCCCTCTCTCCTCCTCTCTCCTCCTCCTCCCCCCCCTCTCGCAAAGTGATAGATCAAATGATATTTCATAATCGTTCGTGTATCTCTAAAATTTTTAATTGATTAACGAGAACAAAAATCGCGCGAATGTTTCGTGTCTAAATAACATTGATATAAAGCGCAATTTCAATTTTAAGATAATTAATTTTCTAAATGGACATTCTTGCTAAACCAGTTTTCTGCGCGGTAATAAATAGTAATACGAGAAATATTATTAATATACCTTGCGGAAATTGTAGAAAATTATATTCAAGTTGAAAGATGACAACTCTCGTACACCGTAATCCACGTCGGCACTGAACAGAACATACATTATGATTTCGCTTTTAAGCGAATTTACTTCATTCCGTTTGATTCGCGCGTAATGCTCGTTAATTTAATTTCCAATTAAGCGTACGCTGGTTTCATTAAGGGCGTAACGTGACTCATTAAATGTGATTGCATGGCATTTATCCGCGCAGTATTGACAAATATGTGTTATATTCGCAAAGTATTTAGGAAAATACAGTGGTATCACGTACGTACATGATTTGATGAAGGAAATGAAATTTTTTATGTGTATAAAATTCCTCCTCCATAAATTGAGATTTTTTTCCTTCGTAAATTGAGGACAGACAGAAACTTTTATGTAGTATATATCATTTAGTAGTCTGTCAAGAATATCTGCGAGTAAAGCGAGGATTGACGGGACAAATCATCAGCAAACGTTTATTATTCAAAAAGAATATTTCGTACTAGAAAATCCGTCAAAGCTTCGCTGTGTAAGTATATGCAACGTATAAAATATATGTATATGTGTATGTATAAAAAAAATATATATATATATACATATATCTAACTGCGTGAATCCTCGTTGGAAGATAAATGAGCCAATCTGTTAAACCCGGTCTCGAGATACGCACGCTCTCGCGTGGCAATTATATACGTTTCCTGAGGTCCAAATTTATTATGTACTAAAACGCCGTTATTGTTGCAAGAAGGCGGCCGTTGAGTAGAAAAAGCTGCCGTTATTAATTCGCATTAGTTTAATAGGTACCGGGTGGAGGCCGCGAGACCGAGAGGTACGCGGGAAGGTGAGCGGTGCGCGGGAGAGGAAGGAAGAGGGAGGGGGGGGGGGAATAAGGTCACGCCAGAAAGTGAGTAATGAAGGCGGTTTATCTCCGAGGAGTAACTAGCGGTGTTCGTGTAATGGGGGCATTCATCAACGCGATCTCACATCGCCTTTCCGTTCGCGTTTCAGAGTCTCATGACGATTTGCGCTACGTACGGACGGTGAGAAACGGAGCTGAAACGATTTCTTTCTGCACGCGCCCCTGGAAAACCCTCGTTGCCACTTTGCCGCGCAAGATTAATGCCGGTGAAGTGGTGTTTTCGGCGCCATTAATTTTTCTCTCCCCATTTATCAGTTTTAATTCCGCGAGGCCCGGATCCCCCTCGTTTCCCCTTCCCTATGACGTTTCGTATGACGAATAGGATTAGCGCAATTGAAATTGTGCCATATTCCATCCCATATTCGCGTAATTTGTCCCATTATATTGGCGCGTCCATCGTTTCGCCTCGTTATCGTTTCGCGAACAATGATAAGTGTCTATTTTAGGAATGCAATCTATTTCCCTAATATAATATCCCTAACATTTGTTATACTTGTTGCGAGCCTGGAATAATTTGTGAATTAATTAAAGTTACCTCCGGTTATTATGAGAGAGCGCGCCGCCGCTAACGAGAAAGCAAATGGTCACAATTTATTCCAATACAAGCTAAGACAACTTTTCATTGCCGTCAGTACCTTTGCACACGAGAGATCGGAGATTGATTGACGTATCGTCCCCCTAGGCGGTCGCTGTCGCCGCATTATATATTATATAGTATTTCGTCTCGGCACGCTCATTACCTTCCTAACGAGAGAGGAAACCGATCGTACCCGCAAAAATGCACGTCCCGGCGTCCCGCGCTCCCAACGATTGACATTGGCGGCCGCGTTTCTGCGGCGCATCAACGCCACGCCGCACGACAACAAGCGACAGGAACAACAACCAGCACGATATATATCCGCGGAACACGCAACGAGCGCAGCAGGCAGCCATATTATTACCGTCTTTTCGCAGTCCGCGCCTCTGTAATTATGATTTTATTTTTATGGACATAAATTATACGGGCCGCCTAGCTGTGTCATTATATGGCATTTTAATTCAAGGCTGTAGACATAATGGTAACCCGCGCCACACGGACTCACTACTCACCTGCCCGTAGGTGAGGGGGACGGAATCGGGAGAGAAGGGTACCTATACGTGGGGCACCGCGAGGGGGGAAGACCGATGGGCCGATAGTGGGGTACGTCGACTCGGCCTCTCGCGATTCGCCAACTCCAATGTGTGCATTTTCTTTAATTCTTTTTTTCTTTTAGCCTCTCTTTTAGCCGCTTCTCTCGCGAGAAGCCGTTCCTTTATCCGAGATTCTCGCGTCAATGTCTCACGCACATGACATTATTTTAATTTTCCGCCGAGTCTCGTTGCGAAATAATAACGCGTATTGGTTTAATATAATTCCGAGATTAGAAGGGGGTTCGTCCGGTGATTTCCGCTCGGCCGGCTTTCGCGATTTAGCAGTTTCCTCGCGATAGTTAAGAAAGTACATCGTTCTTTCGTTCGGTGGATATTCATCGCGTACTCTGCAATTACGTAAGAGTACTCGCAACGATTTCACGAAACGATTACGAAACCCCCCTCCCCGCCCCCGTGTAAAATAAGGCGCACGATTTTAATCTATATTCCCATTAATTCAGCTGCCTCTTTTTTTTCATTTATGTAATAACGCAAAAGCAAAGTGGCAGTAAAGGAGAGGCAACCGTTTTACATCCGGTAATTTCATCGCGTCTCTCCGCCGCTTTCACGGCGGAGCGTTCGTCGCTCAAGTTTCTCAATACGTGTGAATTCGAAGATAAGTCCCGAAGGTTGATAAGCTAATTGACTATATCTTCTCATTATAAAGTTACACGCGATATAAACGAGATATAATCGGTGCGAGATATATATATATACTATTTGCGCGAGAGAAAACAAAGCTGCACTATCGTCACGCAAACGGTACGGTAATCCAGAACGAAACTTTATCTCGGTGAATTTCCTACGTTCTTTTATCGTGAAAAACTCGCTAAAAACAAAAGCACACGTTTGTACGCGATGTGCGTGATATCGCGCTTGGCACAACAACATCTGCCTCTCCACATTACGACATTACAATATATCATTTGGAGGCATAATTTTTGGCCGCATCTACCGTGTAGTTCCCTGTCCTTAAACGACAGTACCGGCAGCTACGCCTCGAGTCACCGTCATCGATAAGCCGTGTACCTGTATTTAGCACCGTGCACGTGAGTGATATTCGTCAAACGGCGTGTATACGGCTATAATTTAACCGCAATTTCACAAACCGCGCGGTACGCCGCGTTGCGCCGGGGACCTAACGATTGCGCCGAATAATTACGCCGGCGAGCTGTTGTTACGTCGTTACGATCGTCGGAATTACACTTAATTTGTAG